TTTTTAATTTTAATAATTAGATTAAAATTAGAATAATAATATAAAACCGGATTTTAAATAATATTCTATTTTTAGTAGTAAGTTATAAGTAGTTAATATTTTAGTATATTATTATTATAAATATACTTAATATTAATATTTAATTAATATTTAAAATAGTTTTATATTATAATAAATTTATTATAAATTTTGCTGTAGTTTTTTAAAAAAAAATCTAGTAGTAATAAAAAGTATAATTTATAAAAATAATAAAATAGTAGATACTAGTCTGGCTGTATATAAATAATAAACTATAAATATTAGTATATATAAGATTTTTAACTTGAAGTCTAAAATTATGTGGTTTAGTATATAATATTAGAAGTATCTAATCTTTTTTATATAAATATAATTTATAGAATATCGATAGAATATTCTTTTTAATATTTAGATTAATAATATATTTTAAAAAATTATAGATTTTATACTCGAAGGTATAAGCTGTATAGTAATAAATTAAATAAATTAAAATTAATAAAATAATTAATTTTTTAATTATATAAATAGTAAGATTAGTAGAAGATAAGTAAGTTAAAATATTATAATAATATAAATTATAAATAGTTTTATAATTTATTATATTATTAATATTTATAAAATATTATTTTTTATTTATAATAATATATTTAATTTGTTTACTATTTTTAATAAAATATATAATTTTTTTATTATTATATATAATTAAATATTTAAGCAAATAAGTTATTTATAAAAAATAAGATTATTTAATAAAACTAGAATAAACCAGTAATAATTAATATTAAGTATATTAATTAAATTATCTTTTTTATTTATAAGTTTAATAAAAATAGTACTGTAACTAATAATATAAAAGATTTTATTAGTAGCTGTTTTAGTCCAGTATATATAAAATATAAAAATCTAAAAATAATATTTAAAATAGTTTATATTCTTTATAGTTCTAAAGTTAAGTATTTATTTATTTATATAATTTAAATAAATATTTTTTTAGATTATAGCTGCTATATTAAAACAAACTAATATAATAAAAATATTAAATAAATTATAATTAATATTAATAATATTAATAATAAGTAGTTTAAATAGTAGTACTGTCTTCGCCAGTATAAATATTATATTAATATATATACTTATATTTTTTTTTATTAAGATTTAATAAATATTTACTTAAAAATAATTTTTATTATATTAATAAAAAATATAGAATATTAAGTTTTTATCTACAGTATTAAGTTTTTTATATTTAAACTAAATATTAAAATTTAACTATTTTTTATTATATTTACAGCTGTTATTATATTTATAATTATAGTTTTTATTTTAGTTTTAGTTATTATAATTATTACTGCTATAATTAAAAATATTAATAATTAAAATTTTATTAATAATAATATATATAGATAGCTGCGAGAATTAATTCTTTCGAATATATTTAAACTATATAAATTAAATATAAATTAATAAAAAAATAATAGTTTTTTTAAATATTATATATTAATTTATAATAAACAGTTAAAATATTATAATATTTTAAATTATTATAAAAAATTATAGAAGTTTAATTTAATTATTTATAATTTTAATACTATATAATTTATTAAAAGTATTTATAAACTTTGTTAGAAATATATTTTAATTAAAAAACTATTATAATATATAAATATTTACTTGTTATAAAAACAGATAGTAGTTATAAAACTAAAAATCTTATAAATTTTTTAAAAAAATCTATATATTTTAGTTATTATATTATAGTTTTAGAAATATACTGCAGGGCTGGACTTATATATAATATTAAAAATAATAAAAATTAAATAATTTAATTAATTTTATTTTTAAATATTTATAATATATATATTTAATAAAGTACAGTTTTTTTTTAGTTTTAGTAATATTGTATTAAATATCTGTATATATAAACAGATTTCTATTTTTTATTACTTAAACTATAAGAATTTATATAATTTAGTTTTTATTTTCTGAATAAAAAACAGGTTTTTTAAAACTAATATAGTTATCTTAAAATAATTTTTAAATATTTAGATTTTTAGATCTAAAATAGTTATTTAGATTATATTACTATATCAGCTAGTTAAACTAATTTTTTAACTTTAGTATAACTTTAAAAATATTAATATTAAATAAATCTTTTAATAATATTATAATATAATATATAGCCACGCCGCTCGTGTAGTAGAAGTATATAGTTAATTAATTTAATAAATTAATAAATATTAGATTTAGTTATTAAGCCGGCTAGAATACTTCGAAGACTTTTCTATCTTTTTAAATATAGAAGTTGCTAAATAAAGATGTAAAAAGCTGTTAATATTATAAATATCGGTATATAAAAAAAGATTTTTATAAAAAAAATAAAAGAGAATAAATTTAATAAGAAATATAACTACAAGAGCTTATAACCTGTAAGAGAAAATATATATATATTAATTAAGATATTTACAGCTATGTGGCTGGTTCTTTAAGAGATAGTAAGATCCGAGATTACGTGACCCCAGATATCTGTCACAGTGGCGATTAATGCAAATGGCAAGTAACGATAAGTCGACATCCATAGACTCTTAGGGCATATGGCTCCGACTTCCACACCCGCAAGCTTACCGTATGCGCCGACCAATCCTGTTTGGGCAATTAACACCGGGCCCAGCGATCCTACAATCGTGCCTCAGACTGTTGCAGACTGCTTGTCGTAGACTTAATACATAGATGTGACATACACATACAGGATGATGGAGAAAACATACTAACATTGAGAAATGGATCTTTCTGTACGAGTTCGCATATATCTAATCATGAATAAGTTTTGATCCCGCCACAACTCGCATTGTCACGACTTTCAGCAGTACATGCTGAAAGAACCTGTTACTGGATATTAGCCTCCAGGGCTATCTTTATCTGGTGGACACACGAAAAACCCAAGGAGGGCTGGATTTTGGTGTACGGCCCACAAGGCATCATCCGGTCGCAGCGAACCCTACGCCGACGGCAATGCTCACATGACAAGGTGGGGCGCCGGCGCTCGGTAGAAATAGAAGCCTTATTACGGCTGTCCACTTTCCCTCAATAGGCACGGCTTTTCTTTCGCCTTCATAGGGGGCCATCGGTGCAATGGGGGTCAGAGTACAGCCAGGGGCACTGATTGCGGGGTTCCCGCCCCGGCATGTCGCCAATCTCCAGAAGGTTCCGGCCAAGACTCGATATATTCGGACTTCGCTGTATTAGCCGTGTTCACTGTATCGGGTCTTGAGCAAGTTCAACCCAACAGGCACAGCGATCATAATAAAAGGTTTATGTCAATCGTCCCCCGGATATCTCTTTATGTTATTTTCCAGTATCATGATTCACTTTTTCTCAACAAATCCACATTTTCTTTCCCGCCTCATACCAGTCCTCCTCCCCAATACTGTACTGTAAATAGGGCCGAAGCCGGAACCCCCTCGAAAATAACCTTCAGGCTTGACCTGCATAAATCACCGTAACGAAAGCAACCAGAAACATGACTTGTCTGAACGTCCTCATCAGCGACACCGGCATTGCCGGCAACGCCCTCGCCTACTACAGGGGCATCTAAGGCGTGAAACAATCAAAGGATAGGAACTGCTGCGGTATAATGATCTCAAAGAATCACGATGAACTTGGCAATAGTTGCAAATCGGGTCACGGACAAAGATGAGTGGCCGTTCAGGTGAGCTATAGTGGGGACGTTGCTGCATTGTGACCGAAAGTTACTGGGTTCATGCTTTTATTTGCATTGCAACATATCCATTTCCTTGCAACTTCCCACTATCTACCAGTAGGTGCAGACAGCTGTCGGAAGATGCATGAATTTCAGTTAATTCCATTACATTCCAGTCCTCCCAAAAGATAGGCTTATTGGATCCAGAGATATGTTATTTGGCGGAGGCTTTCGTCTCGTCGCTCGTACACTAGGTAGCTTGTGGGCCACAACCGCAATATTAGTAGTTGACCGAGGGAAAATACGAAGATTGTACGAACAGGACCGAAGAGATCATACTCACAAGGTCACGTCCCAAGCACAGGCAGTCTATTCTAGATCCAAGTCTACGAGACTACGGGGTGTCTGATGGTGGGCCAAGAAAACGCCCAGCGGCCACAGAAATCTTCTTTACATTTGTTCCCAGAGAAGGATGTACAGTGAGTACTCCTCTTGGTACGGACTAACTTCCAAGTCCAAACTCTACGACATGAACGTGACACTCCAAGAAACATCCTACTTAAATGGCGTTGAATCATAGTGGGTCAAGATTGAAATGAAATCTGTTCTCCAAAGTACGTCATCGAATACCAACCACGATGCATGTTCGTTGGGCCTCATTTCTTCTGGCTGCTATTCCTACCGCAGCCCCCTGGCCGGTTGATCATTGTGAACACAATTGTGTCGTCTGGGTGAAATCAACTGTGGGCGGAGCGGACACTCAGTTTCGTGTCCATAATGGTCCTTGCGATATAACAAATTGGTTTCTGCATTGCGCGATTTATGACACGCAGAACAAAAAGCAATCATGCGGCTACTGGGGCTTCTTCATCCCCTGTTATGCTCAATGCATGTGACTGGTAGAGTCCCCCTTCTGCAGTATCCTAGTAATAGAATGTTGCTCACAGGTGGACAGAACAGCACTGTAGGAGTTAGTTCAAGATTTAGTGAGGGTGGAATGTATTGACTGAAACAGGTGTTGATCATTCCAGACTATGGCTGGGGTTATGCACTATAGTTGTGCTGTGGATGACAACAGACAAAGGCGGGGGGTAATGAGATCTGCGTTCCCTATCTTCTCCGCTTTTGATCAAGTGTGTGATGACAGTGCGATGATACGCGAATTGAGTGCTGGCTTCCAAAAGGGTAGGCTAATTTACTGGCGGGCTACTTGACCGCTGCTACACTAGGCACACCAAAAGCAATAAAAGGGTCCACATAGCTAATGCAATAGTCGGACGGACGTTTAAAGCTGACCAACCTGTTCAGTAACATCCCGCCCAAAGCTGTGGCCGATAAGAAGTAACGGTCTAATGAGCTCCTGGTCATTATAATGATCAGTAAAGCCGGGGCAAAACATGATGCACACAGGCTTACGTCGCCGCGTTGTTCCTTAAACTATCCCAGATGTTGAAAAATCTTTGTCTGGGGGCATCGACCAGCCATCTTGAGTCGTATTTGAAAGTCATAACTCGGCAAGAGACTTGAGCAGATGACAGCGAGGTTGGAAGTAACTTTTTCAACCAGTCGAAATGCTTTTGTGGGAACAGACATGTCGCTACGAGATTCAAACGTAAAATTTGTTGTCTTGGTAGACCGTGTTGACTTGAGCACATGAATCAATTGGGATAGGAGCAATACGCCCGGCAAGCGGGATCTTCCATTGAAGAATCTAAGGACGGCTTTCTGCCCTGTAAGCTGCTAACGATAGGGGTGGGTAACTACAGGTGCTCACCTTCAGCATTGGGTGATCATGTCGGTAAACCTGGAGCTCTATCGGCTGATCTCCTGTCCGGTCCATGTCGACGTTATCATCAATTGCTGCAGGGGGAAAAAACCCATTCGAATGGACGTATTAGTCAGACATATAGCCTATGGCTGTCATATATCCACGCACACTCTCATTGGCTTTGTCGGGAGAATAACTACAAAGCCACAGTTCTGCGTCTTAGTGAATACCTAATAGGTAGATAAAAAGTGGTCTCACCAATTACGCTTCAACGCTCAACTGTCCTGCTCTCTTTGACTCAGTATATGTTTGTTCTTATTTCTCTTTCTTACCAATTTAGACACCACAATACTGGAGGCGATAATATACTACAGCGGGAACCAATTCACAGTAGCTTATACACCCAGCATATTAAAAAATTAAGTAGCGGTAATTGCATAAATACAAGCCGAATTGTTATTATTCTACAAACCTCTCTCGGCGCGTTAATTCTTATTGTACTGTGCATAGTATAAGTTATTCTCCTTCCGGCCGTATCTTTTACTCGAGGGCAATGCATGCTACGCGTTAATTATCGGTGTGATCTCGCACAACCATCACAACCCTTGTTCAATTAATATATTATATAAAAGCTAACGTAACAAGCCTTATATTCATGATCTGTCGCCGGAGGGAGATCATGCACGACAGAAAGACGTTACAAACCGCTTGGACGTCCTCTTACCTACAAACACCTTCGAGCAATGGTGGCCTGCTACAAAGGCCGAAATAAAGTTGTCTGAGGCTACTGGCGAGTATTTTGTCCAGAGCCATCTTTTACCCCCCTCCGCCCCCACACCCCTAGAATCTCGGTACGCGGCGATGCTAATGCTTTCTTCAGTGTTGTGTGTTTAGAGCAGGTAGACCGCACGGATAGGATCCATGAGCTGCAGTGTCTGCATGTCTTCCATCGAAAGTGTTTTGAGGGGATGGTACATTCGCGGGCATTATAACTGTCCATTGTATAACCAGCCGTATTTTATGGAGGATAGTGTATGCACTGGAAAACGAGAAAAGGTTGATAGTAAGGATAATTAATAACCTGTTGGGATTACGTATGTACCAATACTAAAGCCCGGATGTCGATAGAAGAGCAATAAAATGTATAACCAGCACAGCCAGTCAGACATCGTAGTGGTGTATTTACTCTTAGTCCCAGTGATTACGCTAGCAGGGGCAATCTTTAAAAAAAAAGATTTGGAACTGTTATTAAAATTCACAACAACAAGTCACTGATCTGAGTAATCCATGGCCGAAGAGTTCCTGGTTGAGGTCACATTAACGGGTGCCGGATGTATGGAAAAGGTTCACCATCGGCTATATGAACCATCGCCACAACATTTGTGTGGATGCACCAACAACCTCTTCGACGTCATCGGCTGCAGCGCAGCTTATAAGTAACGAACTCGCGATATACAAGCCCCCCTAGTTTCATTCATACGAAGGCAATTAGATTCGATTTTATTTTTCCGATCCAGCGCAGTTGCCAACGACCACAATGCCCGCCAAAGTATTCCTCACCGGCGCCACGGGCTACATCGGCGGCGACGCCTTGTACCAAATCCACCAGGAACATCCCGATTTCGAGTACGCGCTCCTGATCCGCTCCGAAGCCAAGGCCAAGAAAGTGCAGGTCGCGTACCCCAAAGCCCGGATTGTCATCGGCGGCAATGACGATCTCGAACTACTGGCGCGTGAAGCCGCCTGGGCGGATATCGTCATCCGTACGTCTTTCCTACCGTTCTTTTCGTTGGCTGAAATGCCCTCTTCATACCTTCACCGACAGCAGTGCTAAGCCAGCGACAGACACGGCGGATTCATCCGACCACGCCGACGCGGCGACGGCCATCGCCAAGGGCCTGATCCAGGGCCACTCCGCCTCACGACCAGGATTCTGGCTCCACACCGGTGGCGCGGGGATTCTGACGTACTTTGATTCGGAGGTGAAGAAGACGTTCGGCGAGCACGACGATAAAGTCTTCAATGACTGGGGGGGCGTCGACGAGCTGGTGAACCTCCCCGCCGCGGCATTCCACCGCAATGTGGACGAGATCGTGCTGGAAACGGGCACCAAACATGCCGCTTCGGTCAAAACGGCGCTCCTCTGCCCGCCCACGATCTATGGTCCAGGTCGGGGGCCGGTCTCCAGTCGCGGACGACAGGTGTACGAGCTTGCGGCGTTTATTTTGAAAGAGCAGTACTGTCCTTACATTGGGAAGGGGCTTTCGCGGTGGAATAATGTGCATGTGCATGATTTGAGTCGGGTGTTTGGGCTGCTCGTGCAGGCTGCGTTGGATCCATCCTGCCAACATGATGAGGAGGTCTGGGGCGCGCGTGGGTACTATCTCACGGAGAATGGGGAGCATGTTTGGGGTGAATTGTCGGCGGCCGTTGGAGAAGAGGCGTTTAAACAGAAGTACATTAAGGGGGGCCGGCCGGAGCTGAGGGCCTGGTCGATTGATGAGGCTGTAAAGTCGTCGGCTGGGTTTGAGGCGGCGAGTTGGGGGATGAACTCGCGGGGGTCCGCTGTGCGAGCGAAGAAGGTTCTGGGTTGGAAGCCACAGGGAAGAAGTTTGAGCGAGGAGGTGCCGGATATTGTTCGATCTGAGGCGACGAGGATGGGGCTGTAAGTCATTACTCAGTGACTCAATGAAAGACAGCCTTTAGACAGAATACTTTTGTTGTGGTGTGTTGTGTTGATTTTGTCTATCTTCTAGTAGGACATCTCGAGGGATCATATCTAGTGGTAGTGAAGATAAAGTGTGAATGCGTCTAGTCCAGCAGCGCGTTATACTAGATATGGAGTACCGAGAGAGAGAGAGAGGTAACTGCAGCTATGGAGTACTCAGGCATCAGGCAAAAACAACTCCGGCGGTAAATCGAACAAACTCTCTAGCATGGGATTCCCGTGCCAAAGATCATCCCCTAGTAAAGACGCATTGGAAATGCCCGTCTCATTTGCGGTCACAGCGTTCATGCCGCCCGCTGCCTCCGCCACACCGACAGCACTCTCGCCTGTCGCCGCCGGCTGCTCCAAACACCGACTCGACAGGTTCTCAAACAGCTGCAGAATAAACGTCCCACAATCCCAAAACTCACTCACTGTCTTTAGCACCATCTGGCAGGAGTTGTGCGCCGTCCGACCCAGCCGCGCAACCATTTTATTCGAGCTCCGCATCCGCTCATAGAACGCCGCCTGCGCGAGGAAGATACCATGGTAGAGCTCATGCGGCACGCTCAGTAACGCCCCTTTGGTTACGAGCATGCACATGACAGTGGTGATATGATCTGCGGCCGTGTCGATGATGTCGTCGACCTCGCGCTGATCGCGACGACGGGGATCCTCTCCGCGCATATGGCCAAGATAGATTAAGATGAGGTGGTGGTTGTATTGGACCGACAAGGCCATGGAGAACGGGTTTGCGGGATCTGGGACCTGGTCGTCCCAGGTTAAAGTCGGGACGAGATGGGCTTTCCACCAGGTGAGCTTTCCGAAGAGGCTGGAAGACGATACGGGCTGTCGGCCGGGGTAGAAGCGGCTGCTAATAATCTCTCGCATGAGCCGGGACAGCTTGGCGGTCTCGATTTGGTATTGGGCGTATCGCTGTGCCAAGGAGTCATGCAAGAAGTCCGGGGTCATGGCATCGTGCGCGAAGTCCTCGATGGTTAGTAGGTCTGCGTCGGCTTGGTCGAGGTCAATGCGGAATGGACGTCCGACGAGGGTGCCGCAGATGCTGTCACGGGCGACCAGCGCCCACCATAATCGTCGCATGAGGCTTTTGTCTTGGGGTTGCATGTTGGGCACGGCGAGAGTGGAGCGGTGGATTCCCATCGCCTCGGCAATGGTCACTGCCGTGCTGATCCAGGAGTAAAAGTTCCAGTAGGTGTTCGGGCCGCCGCCGTAGAAGGACAGAAGGAATGTGCTCTGCAGGAGGGTGATCTTGTTGGTTTCGTAGCCCATGTCGAAGAGCGCTTTGGCTTTCTTGTAGAAGAACAGACGCGCCTCGGGTCGGGTCTGGAAGCCGAGAAGAGTCACGGCGGACGAGGGCGCGAAGGTCACCGCCATAAAGCTGATGGCGTACATGAGAAGTAACGACAGCTGGTCGTTCTTGTACTGGTAGATCAGTTCCTGGCGATTGACGATCGGGTAGAGCGGGTAGACGTGGTCCAGGAAGACCGACATTAGGGCGTTCAGATGGGCCTTGCCCGGCCGATTGAACACGCCCTTGGCCCGGAGATATTCGAGGTCCTCCGGGAGCATATGTGTCGGTGCTGACGGAGCGGGGGAATCTCCTTGGGTTGTCGGGAAAGGAGGGCCGAGGTGGTGTAATCTCGGCTGCCTGCCGTCCTTGAGGCCACTCAAGACGATGGTGAGGGGGAAGGACTCGCCGAGGTACGTAATCGAGCATTTGTCGATCCAGTCCCGTGCGTTCTCGCGGTTGTTCAAGAAGTGGTCAAACATGGCAGACCACGAGATCTGTTGGTAGGAGGAGGCGTCGCCTGGCGTCGCCGATGGAACCGGGGTCTGAGGAGGCTCACTCGCTGTAAGCCTGCTCTGAGCCTGATTGCTGGAGGCTTCGATGCCGGGCTGATGACGGGCATGGCCGATGCTTCCTGAACTTAACGTGGCCAAGTCCGGCGCAGAGGAACCGGTTGCGAAAGGGGCAGCAGCATCGGATCCAGGGGGAAGTCTTCCTCCAGGATCGTCAGCCCGCGTCGGATAATTGTCGACAGCAACCGGGACCCTCCGGCGTGTCTCATCGCTGCGGAATCTTTTCTGACGCAGGGCGCTCCGGGCGTACGTCCCACGTTTCGTTTCCCGGAGCACACAATCCGCGTGGCGACCTCGCACGCAGGGAGTGCACGGCATCTGGTGCATGGCGTCACATTTGATCCGTTTCTCATGGCAATGCGTACATGCCTTTCCGGCTCGCCTGCGCGATCTGGTGGCGTCTGCCATTGCTCCTGTCGGCAATACCAGCGCCGATATATGCTCGATGTCATGTTGAGTGCAGCGGAAGGACGGGTAGTTACGGACGGGGTGATGAGTCAGCCATATAAGCGGTGCCAAGCATATAACCGGAACCAAGACCTCTTCGGCTCCTCCTTATACCCGATGTATCGTCACACCATTTGCTGATGGGCAATTTGCCATGTCACCACACGCACTAAAAAATCGCCTGGAACAGCCTAGGGAGAAATCTATCCAGCAGGACCTGGTCGAGATAATGGATAAGAATTACTGAGGCGATCCCAGCCCAATGGACGCCATGTGGATAGAAATTATCTTGGTTCCACCCCATTTTGCCTATGTCCCTTACCCACCAGGAAGATAGAAGGTCGATTCTGCCTAATGCGTTGGTCTGGCCTCAGTACCAGGAACCTTTGCCATTTTATAAGAAACAGGCCCCGTGCAGGTTGATAAGCTGACAGTACAAACCAGGAGAGCCTCTCCAAGCGTCTGACTCAACGACCGAGTTTCATTCGTGGCGATCAAGCATGATTCCTCCGGTGGAAGCTGCAGACTGGCAAGCTGGTAAGCCGATGACTACCCTTTGGTTTCTTTCTAGCCCAGACTGATGTTGTTTACCAGGCAAAGGCGTAACTCATGAACCGCCGGTGGAGGCATTCCCCATGGTCGGGGGCGGGACAGACACGACCAGTGCGTCAGAGGGGTGTCCAGAAGCCCAGCATCCTGCAGCTCTGGACGTCGAAAATGCTCCCGAGCGGCATACAGAAGAGACTGTAGTGCTTCCTCGTCTCCCACAGGGCGTTCCTCCCGAGCTCAGTGGCTTCACGGGCGAGTTAATATTCATCCTTCTCTGCTCCATGGGCCTGTTCCTCTTCGGCCTCTTCCTCGGAAACGTCATTATCAACCAGGCCGTATTCCCTCACGCGCTCGGGGTGAGCGAAAGCAATACGCCATGGTTGATCGGTTCCTTCCTGCTGGCGAATGGCATCGCCGTGATTGTCTCTGGGTCGCTGGCGGACCTGTCGAACCCGAAGCTTCTCATGGTTCTGGGCTTCGGCTGGCTGGTCATTTGGAATATCGTCGGGGTATTTAGCATCCGTCCCTCACTGCCAGTCCTCTTTTTCGTGGTCCGGGCCATGCAGGGGCTCGCCATTGGCGTCCTGCAGTCGACATCGATGAGTCTACTGGGGCGGGTGTACTCGCCTGGGATTCGGAAAACGAGGGTATTTTCAGTCATGTCCGCAATGACGCCCGTAGGTTTCCTCGTCGGCTGTCTGCAAGGCGGAGCGCTCACAGTACACCTGCCCTGGATCTTCGGGAGTAACGCCATAGCTTCCTTCATCTTCGCAGTGGCCTCCTTCTACGGTATCCCTTCGTTTGCCCCGAAGGCTGGTTCCTCCGGTGACCAACTATCTCTCAAACACTTCGACGCCCTCGGCGCCGTTCTCGCTGCCCTGGGCTGCGGGCTAATCATCCTCGGGCTAACGCAAGGCGTCCCCAGTGGCTGGAGCCCATACACTTACTCCCTCATCATCGTGGGAGCGGTCTTTCTAGTTCTATTCTACTTCGCGGAACGACGCGCATCGCGACCCCTCGTCGATAACCGTCTCTGGACGACCCCCGGATTTCTCCCCCTCGCGATCTCCTATTTTCTCGGATACGGGGCATATGTCGGGGGATGGATGTTCTTCGCCGTGCGATTTCTCCTCACAATCCAGGGCCATGCACCAATCACCGTGGCTCTCTTCTTCATTCCTAATATGGTCTGCGGCATCCTTGCCACCTACATCGTGTCGAAAACGCTTCATCTCGTCCCGGGACACTGGATCCTTATCGCCGGGATGGTCGCCACTACCATGGGTCCGGTCTTCTTCATACCCCAAACGCCGAATACCATCTACTGGGCGCTGTCGATGCCAGGGATTGCCCTCGTGACCTTCGGACCGGACCTGACATTCGCAGCTGCGTCCATCTTCATCACGTCGAACGTCCCCCGCTCGTTCCAGGGCTCGGCCGGGAGTCTCCTGGTGACGATTCAGAACCTGTCTGCGGCCATTGTAACGGCCATTGGAGATACGATCGGGAAGGAAGTCACCCAAGCAGGCGGCGACGGTTATAGTCTGGACTTGGGTGCTTTACGCGCGATTTGGTGGTTTAGTTTCGCAATCTCGCTGGCGGCGGCGGGGGTTTGTGTGGGGTTTGTACGCATCCCGAGGAGCGAGGAGAAGGACCACGTCGAGTGATTTTCGAGGTGTTTGGAGACGGGGGACTATGAGGATTGCTCGTGGTTCTAACATTGGCGTCTTGTGGTTATTTTTACACGCCAAGTTGAACGTAAGTGTATGGATCTTCGGCGGAAAGGTTGGTATAGAATAGAAGGATATAGATGCTTCTGTGCGGCTTGATTATATATCCAATCAGGAAAGGATTCACCAGCAACAGAGATGTGGTATTTCAACTGGTGATACCGCGTGGAGAATTGAGTCTTTACGTGATTGACAAGAGTTGCTCGAGCTCTCTTTTTGTCTTAGTCTTTTTTTATTTATAAACCAGTAACTAAGAAAAGGCTTATATTCTACTCGGCCGCATTCAATATGTGGCTTAAATACAACTAAGCGGACGGAAAGCCCTGTTTTCCACACCCTGTGGTCGTATGTGATGATTCCCGGCAGGAGGCCATCTATACGTCTGTGGAAGTGCACAGACGGGGGAGTAGAATGTTGCCGGATCTGTCTCATTGTTCTTTCCTCCTTTAGTATTGATAAGTTGTGACACTTGCGAAAGAGGTGGAAGATGCTTGGATTCTGACTATCTTGGGCCATCTGCGAGGAACTAGCTAAGGCCACCGGTGGGCGGTGAGCAGCAGCCTGGGCGAGGCCGCAGGACCGCCGTCGATAAGCTTTATTATCACTGTCCATTATTCGAGTATATCGGCTAATATTCTTGAAAAGGACTTTCTGATGGCTCCAATGCATGAACCGGAACGAATAGCAGGTATATTCAGCTACTCGAGAGGGAATGGTATGGAGGGAGGAGTGGAAGGCAGGGGTGACAAAGTCGGAGGCTGACGAAGCTCGACGAGGGCACGAAGCCGGCAGTAACAGTCGAAGAAAAGCTCTGCAGGGCCGTGGTCTTGGAGTTGGAGACGGCAAGAACGACGCAGCGCTCGTTGATCAAGAAGGTCAGACGTCCGTGGACATCCGGGGAGACGGCCATGCCGAGGGCGGTGGCCCAGAGACTAGCCTCAGGGGCGTAGCGGGGGCGCGTGGCCGGATCGGTCTGGGCGATGCTGGTGTTGAGGTCGCGCAGGAGGACGGCGATGGTGTCGGGATGCCAAGGGAGGCTGGGATCTGCCAGCGTTCGCAGGAGGGTCATGGAGAGCTGGCAGGGGCGGAGGAAGGAGGTCTCGCTGCTGCTCCAGGTTTACTCCCCGGTCGTGGTGAACTCGACGGTCGGGGAGCCGTTGTCGAGTAGCGTCCAGAGGTTGGAAGACTCGCTGGGTTGCACGAGGGCGTGGAAGAGGTCCTGGATGTGCTCGAGGACGCGCAATAGCTGCGATTGTAGGGTGGGATTGATTCTCGAGCCGCCCCGGCGCAGTCGGGCGAGAGCGAGGCTCGGGAGGCTGTCGGGTAGGGCTTCAGCCGGGCTGACGGGCGCCGGCAGCGCGGAGTCGGTCTGGCCGAAGACGACCATGGGAAGAACCATGTTCATCTCAATCATCTCGGCCAGAATGCCGTCGAATCCTAGTTGCTTGAGTCCCCCTCGCAGTGCTACCATTCGGAGGAGGCCCTGTCGGTGGGCTTCGGTCGCATCCGGGTCTTTTTCAATGGACTAGATATCGACGGGCACTTGAGCGACGGTGTCACGATGCAAAATGGGGATGGGGCCGGTCAACCGAAAACGTACCCCACTTATTACCAGAAGAAGCACAGAGGCTATCGTCGCATCGTCCATTAGGCCCCCATGGACCAGGCGACGGTTCAACAGTCGAATCGTATTGGTCTGATGGTACAGGGTAGCGTAGTTTGTGGTGGTGCCTTGCGTCCCACGCATAGCGTCCATCTCGGCCGAGGCCGTGTAAAGTGTCGCGTGGAACAAACAGGGATCGGTAAGAGCATGGCGAATCCACGAAGATCGCAGATGATAAGCAATGCTGTTTACTTCGACCTGCAGGGCGGCTAGCCCCGTCTGCTCCTGAACTAGAGCCAAAGCATAAGCTCACTGTAGCTGCCGGTGCAGGGTCTCTTATCTCACTTACAAAATCGAATGGGGCCCGGGATGTAGGGCTTAGGTTCAATGGGATACGAAGGTTGAAGGTCCAAATCTCGAACCATTGACGCTGACGAGGAGAGATGCGGCGAATTTAGGCGTTGTATTCGAACTAGGTCATCGTAGTTGCAGCACGCATCTAGCCTACAAAGGTTGCCAGTGCGGGCATGGGTGACACGGTCGTGAGGATGAAGCACCGGGCTAGTCGGCGATTTACCTTTCGCAACGGCCACAGGAGGGGTGGGTCTTGTCGCAGGATTTCTTGTGCAGCCGGCATCTGCGACATGACTTGCGACCGCGGAACAAGAATACCTCAACGGGGACTTGTGACGAATGAAAGACAGCTATGGGGACGGCGTGCAGCAGTTTTTCATGCCGGATGGGCACAATAATGCCGTAGACCACATTGCCTCCGTACAGGCACTGTTGGGACGATCTGAGAATCCGACAAATTTATCCATTTTAGTTTCCTTTTAGATATAAGACTTTTTCCCCCTCCAGATTTACAATCCTCTTACTTCTTGCATCGCGAGCATGCAGGCATCAGTCAGTCGCATTTCCGTTTCTTGATCCGGCAAGAGAAGCACGACTCGGCTGTATAATCATGATCAGGGGTTGACATGGTCACGTGGAAGGGTTTCGAGTTCTCTCCATCCGTGTTCAAAAGGTCTGCATGCGGGGAGAAAGCGTCCAACTTATATTACCACACTAAGTGATCAGATACGATTCCCATAATTGGTTAGACAAACGATCCTAGGCCAAGACTCCCATTTGCCATTTACCTTACTAAGTACTGTACAGTACGGATACTATAGTCCTTTAAACTGCCTAGTTCCCGGCCAAATCCCCCAGCCGTTCCCATCTCAGTCTCATAGATATTCATTTGGGACGAACATGAAAACAGAAACCAAAACGCAGACAATCGCTAAACTAGCTGAAGTAAACCAAAGAACCACGAAGCAGCAAAGTCAAGCGGAGGAGATCCCCGGCTTATCCCGCACATGCTCCGCCTGATCCAGAGCCGCCTGCTCGACCACCCACCGCGCCACGTCGCACCGATTGACCCCTAACCTAACGCCCAGTCACCCACATAATCATCACCACCAACTCAGGCCCTTGATCCTTCAGGAACCCGACCCGAAACAATGTCCACTCCAAATCTTGGGCGTCCTCGTCAAACGCCCGCAACATCTCGATGAGATTCCGCCATGCGCTGCGCCCCAGGACCCGGAGCATTCCCACCAGCACGCTGCACGGGAGGCTGAACCGACCCTGCGCGTGGGGGACGCTGAAAGTGCTCAGCGCGAGGATGCGGGAGACATGCAATTCGCGCATCAGCCGGAAGACGCGCCGGTAGAAGTCTGGAAACGGGGTATCTTTTATCGTCATTCCGGACGGGCCCAGTACGGAGACGATGACAGTTTGGCCCTGGATTGCGCGGTAGAGTTGGGCTTCATCTTGTAGCGTGCCTTCTAGTGCCTGTGTGCTCCGCATAAAGTCATTTGATTAGCCTCGATTCTCTGTAAGCTAGCTGGATTTTCCAACGCAGGAAAAGCGAGTAGGGCAAAGGCGGGAAAGGGAAGAATGGAAAGAACGTGGTTTCCTTACTATAATCTCAGCGTTCTAGGCGTGGATTGACAGAATCCGACGGCCATAGATGGTAACTTTCCACCCGGTCCGGAGGGCCTCGGCCACAATCTGTTGGCCCGTGGGGGCTCGACGCACCGAACACCAGCAGCGATCTTGGGTGCGGTGACATCTTCTGCACAGTAGCAAAAATGAAGAATGTCTAATGTGTATGTTATCAACTTTAAGTACGATACATCGCCATGATGTGCCGCGTTCTGTCCCTATTTATGTCTGGTTTTCTTTCCCCTTCATGCGCTTCCCATCGGGTAGCCCTAATCGGCAAAAGCCCGCTAGCCCCGAACGCAAGAGCATCGTCACGGTCTTGGCATCTACATACGGTGCAGTGAGTGCACTAGCTGTTGTTCGATTCTTCTTTACTTCGTTTTTCTTTTGCTGGCAAAGTTGGGATCAAGAGTGGAATATGAAATGACACTTGCTATTGACACTTACGGTATATCTGATTTGTTCTACCTATGGTAGATGATATCCAGAAAGAGGGGAGATGAATGTATTATGTATTTGTTCTTCCCAGGCGTGAAATATATTTCGAAACGGTCGAAGCTAAAATGACAATTGGTAAATTCTAGATACTAGAATCGTGTAAAGCATTGCTTGGATAGATTTCTGTAAGCGAGTCCGAAGTTAAGGACAACATTTTCATATACCATTTAGTGCAATTGGGCGAGGAACAAAGAATGGTGCGGCGTGCCTATCAAAGACCCTGTCTCGGCAAAGCACCATCGACGACCGGCCCCTCCCGCCCGGAAGTCATCTACCCTGCCGCCCCGATCTCCATCTTCAGGTCCATACTTCGCCTGTATGTAACGGTTTGATCCCCATCTTTCCTATTATTCCCCCCGCCTGGCCTTCATTTTATTTTACTTTTTTTTATTACTCTTCCTCATCGCAGTTTGGTTATTTGACAATGTCAATGAAGGAGAAACATTCAGGTGTCCTACACAATCTACAAGAACGGCATCTGGGGCGAGCGGTCCGGCGCCTCAGCGTTCGCCGACGAGGTTATGCTCCGCGACCGATCATACCTCTTGATTATATTTCTCTTCTTCGTGACTCGTTTAAGGTTATCGCTTACTGAGCAGCCGTTGATCTTTCCGCAATGCTGAGCCAGCCGGAATAAGCACGAAGTCATTCCCTCAAGTCAAGTTGAGGTTGGAAGGTTGGAAAGAAACAACCCCATTTGACTTTTGCTACGTAATGCCATAGCCCTAATTATCTTTTAGAGTGCTTTGTTCAAGCACATACGACCACAGGGTGTGGAAAACAGGGCTTCCCGTCCGCTCAGCCGTACTTAAGCCACACGCCGGGAGGTTAGTAGTTGGGTGGGTGACCACCAGCGAATCCCTTCTGTTGTATGTTTTTGGTTGTTTTTCATCACCAGCCCCCAGCTCTGTCGAGGGACGCTGAGCTTTCTTCTATCTACTTGTATGATTGTTGTATATCCAACGCAGCGTGGGTAAAAGAAACTATTATTTTACACATAGTCGAGTCTGCCTCGAGGCTGGAAAAGGCAATCCAGGCCACAACTCCTGGCAGCATCGACTGAGCGAGAGTATACATGAACAAGCGGTCTATGCTCGGTGGGACAAACAGCAACCAGCCAATTGATGATATAGAATATCCCCCCAGTCACACGCCCTCGAGGGGAATCCGTGCTATTGGGAATTGGCCCAATGTTTGCTCCTCCGCTATCAGCGAGAGTTAAAGACAAAAGACCTCGAAGATGCTCGTGATGCCACCCAGGAGGCTTTGCAAACCATTCCAAACGACCAACCGGCGTACTATTATATGTTTGGATTTCGAGATACGCTGGATAAGCTCGATGAGAAAGATTGAAGGGGCGTAGGAGCAGGTAGCAAGGGATTACGTGAGTACTCCCCCTCAGGGAATGCTCGAAATCTGGGGCAAGGTTCCCTGGATAGGTCTCAGTGATTGTAAGAGCAAGCTTGCGCAGTGGGATGTGTGGCTTAGAGACGCACCGGCAACTTTAGGAGATAGTAAAGCTGCAGGGGCAAGATCTCCAGCATGGTTTCTGAGCGTGGGATGCGCTTGTAATTTGATAAACGGAAAAGTTGAGACTGATTGTTGAGTTCCCGTGAGGTCCGCGGCGCGACGATGATTTGTAGCTGTGCAATACGCTCTTTGTGCATTCTTAAGCATGATTGAGTTTATGAATGGAGAACGGTCTTGGATGACTGATTTCTCCAACTTCCGGGGCTGTGCAGTGCCCTGAAGATTTTGAGTCAGTTGTTCGTGGTGACCAGGCAATGCCTGCAGATACGGCGGAAGCAGTAGTGATCAGCAGATGATAATGCTAGATTTAAGCTTAGAGCTTTGTCTCAAACCCTGTTCGCTTGATTGCTATAAACTCTAGATGATGGACGCGTCATGAAGCGCTGATCGCAGACGCGTTGTCTCTTCAGTAGGCTTGAAAGAGGAGGCAGAGGTTGTTGTCGGAACTCGGAACTCGGGGAACAGAGGGTATCGGTGTGGATTCGGCCGAAGTTACCCCAAGTAGAGGGCAATATCCCACCGATGTATGGACGGGCGGGGCGCTACTCTAAAATCTAGCCTGTCTCAATACTAGCATGTTTCTGCATGGGGCAAAGTCCAGTGTGAAGCCACGTGAAGGGAAATAATTGTAGTTCATGAGTTTGTCAAAGGATGGAGGATGTTCAGGTCACCGAGGAAGTTAGGGTTGTTATGGATGGTACCTCAGGCATCACCCGCTCAGTTGGATATGAAGCCATGTTCCTGAGGACCAGCCTGATATGGGCCCTGCCAGCTGCAGATTCTCGTAGACGTAGACGGTGGAGATATGCGAGCACTTTATTTTGCTAGCGCCAGTCCTGCCGTGTGTGAGGAGAAGATATCCGCACATAGTGGTACGCGTATGCTACTAAACCTTTAGAGGGCCCATTTCCTATGGATCCTGGTGATGAGAATGACTCAATTTACTGGGATACTTCTTACTTGAAACCACTATGTCATAGTAAATTCGATTACCCTTATCTCCAACAAAGCAAGACTCCTGGCACCCCGCTGAGTCCCGCCTCCAGCCATCTACATAAGATACGGTGCCAACCCCCCCAACTCCCTTTCAAGCCAACACAAGCAACTTCATCAATACAACCCACCTCAGCATCATGATCACCAACACTCTGACTTTTCTCGCGCTCAACGCGTTGATTGGCCTCTCCCAGGCCGCACTCACCAATAGCACCGAGTGCGTCGACATCCACTTCATGCTGGCTCGCGGCACCACCGAGGACTACCCCGGAACCACTTACACCATGGCGGAACTGGCGGCGGCAAACATGACTACTCTGACTACCAACTACGAGAGCATCATCTACCCCGCCGTCAGCGAGACCAGCTCGGACAGCTACTTCGTTGGGCGGGCAGCGGTCGGCAGCCAGGTCAACCGCTATGCTGCCGCGTGTCCTCGCTCCAAGATCGTCCTGATCTCCTACTCCCAGGGTGCCATGATCGTCGGAGATGCTCTTGCTGGCGGTGGCGGCGATTCGACCTTGGGCAACGCCACCGAGCCGCTGATCTCGGAGGAAGTCTCGAAGCATAGTAGGCTTACCTCCCTCCCCTTCTCCCCGTGTACACATACGAAGCCGAGATGCCCATCACATAATCTCCGGCATCTTCACTGTTAACTTCTAAATATTCTTATCTCTGTGGAGGTTTACTAACCTCGGGTGACCCCTTGCTTTATAGTTGCTGCCAATGTCTACTACGGCAACCCGCGCCACGCCCCCTACCAGCCCTACAACATGGGTAACAACACCTGGAACGTCACCGGAGTAAGCTTTCATTCTCATTACATGCTTTCCTCCACCCTTTTCAGGCTAATCACCACCGCAAGAAATATCCCCGCCTCGACTACCAGATAAACTACCTCCACGACCGTTACCGCCACGTCACCGCGGACTGGTGCAACAACGGTGATGGCGTCTGCTCCCCCTCCGAGGGCGCAGATAGTCTGTCGCTCCACATGGCGTACGCGAGTGACTATGATCCGATTGCTGCCGCTTGGATTGTTGAGAAGCTTGGTGCCTAGGCTTTCGTTGCTCGGGGGGAAGGTAAGGAAATTGTCCCTTAGGCAATGGCGGGTCACTTCCGTGTTTCTGTCGGCACCTTTCGGTGTCTATACGAGTGCATGGTTCAAGAAAGTAGTTCCTGGCTTTGCTAGTGTTGTCCACCCATGTCCCTATCTAGCTTGTATGTGGGTTCCTCCGCGACCATACTAAACAATATTGTTTCTATGATTTTGGAAGTGTAGCCAGGAGGTGGCGACTAGGGCTAAGGGGCTAGTACTCTTCCAGCTTGCACTCGTCATGTATATGGTACCGTATGTATATTGATCATTGCTTGGAAGTTGGGGAATGGTCATAGGAGATGATGTTGTTCTTGTTATCATAAACTAGTCTAAGATGATAGACAAATGTATGTTTCAGTGGTGCGGGAATTCGTCACTCGCATTTGAGCATCGAGGTCTTCTATTCACTGGTATGTGCTTATTAAATCTCAACACCAATAGAAAAGACCCTGTCCTGGTGTGAGGGTTGAGTCGCGGCTGTTGTCACTTCCCCGTGAGCGATACTGTCGAACGATCACTCTCTTAAATTTCGAATTCTCTTCTGCGTCAATAGGCTAGACGACCTAAGGTCCCGAGGATTGAGGACTCCACAGAGCAGCATTGAACATGAACGCCAGGTCCATGGTCGGGAACATCGAAGTGCCCAAGATCGGTTGAAGTGGATCTTCGGGGTAGAACAGATGGTCTGGGTTCGCTGCTGATGTGTTGAGATATTCGGTAAGGGAGACTGTTTCATCATTCTGGTATTGAAATGTGCTTGTGTTAGAGCGTCATGGATGGACAATAATGAAGGGATTGGGTGGCAGAAGAGGCTTACAGCCGTGTGGCTGGAATCACCAGCGCTTTGCGGGTCGGGGACTGGCTGGGAAGCCAGCGGTGGTACGTTGTGGTCTGATCGCCGGCGATGGGGGTTGCTGTTGGTGGTGCTGCCTGAGGCATCTGGCTGCTGCTGCGACCTGGCGCGTAGATTCTGCACGAACTCTCGCGCGATATGCGAGAACTCGGCGGGTGTCGACGGCGGCAAGCAGCCTTTGTTGCTGAGATCCCACCGACTGAAAAACCCGGCTGCTATGTCCAGATAGGCAAGGTTGGTGTTGGTCTCTGCGTGGAAAGGATTGTGGATGACGAAGTCGAAAATGACAAAGACTGCGGAGATGGGAACAATGCCGAGCTCCCTGCTTAAGGCCGTCAGTGATCCGTGAGGAAGTATGGGGACAGAGTTGGGAGGGAAGAACTACCACACAGGCACATGAGCTTCATGATCGATGTGGCGGCAGTCATAGATCACGGCTCGCGCTGTCTCCATAAGTTGGCGCTTGGTTTCCTGGTCAGGCTCACCCGGTTGGGCGGCGGTGAGATGGATTCGAAGGCGACATAGGGTCATCAGCAAGGCATGATAAATGGAGCGCAATTGAAGTCCCATCTCATGCGCACATGAGTTGCTGAAATTCGCAGACCGAAATGGTTGACTGGGCTGGAATTCTGGGCTCAGGGAGGAAGCCCATGCTTCTAATTCGGCAGACATAGAACTGATGGCTGCAATTCGTTCCGCTTTGGGCATCTGAGCCGCACTCACAGAGAAGAGACGCTCATACATTCGTGACATCAACCGGCCCAGGCGGGCGGTGGTTAAGAGCCAGTCCAGCTGGCCGACCACCGCCTCGGGCACATCTGGCACAGGACAGCCAATGTCATACTCGGGGATCATCTAAAACATGGCTTAACAATGTGTCATTCTTGTTGAAGGTTGGGATCACCTTACCGAAGCACGTCCTCGAAAGAAGCACGTTACTTGTTCCTGCCAATATATGACCCAAAACACCCTATGGCAAAGCTTTTCGTCCTCTGTCAGTATGTAGGCTGCGTTGTAGCCTAGGACTTGCACCATTCTTGCAGCCTCAGAGATTAAGGTTTCCCCTATTTGCACACAGGAAAAACTTGACGCAAACAGTGCCTAGGACCAGCGTTAGCCCAGAAGGTCGACCACATGAACACTGATCACGAACCATAGCTGTTAAGGCCTGCTGGACGTCAGTTGATGCTTTGTTCAGGTATCGATGAGACGCACCTGAACGTTGAACAAACCTTCAGAAGGCCCAAGGAGATTGGGGAATAGTCCTAATGCCACCTGAAAATACTTCCACGCTTTCCCTTGCCCCGGCTTGAAGGAGCCACCTTCAGTATATTGACATCCTGATGCCAGAACAGTATGATATAAGGCACTGAATGGGGCACTCTCTACCAGTAGTTCCGCGAGTCGAGGTCCAAAAGCTTGTTGTTCGAATTTAGTGCGATCGAGGAAAGGCGAAATGGGATGCAGGGCTTCAAAATATGCTAGAAGACCCACCATTAATACATCCCTTCAGCCACGGTGGGGGAACCTTGACTGACCGGCTATGTAGCGAGCGGCATCATCGGGGGCAGCATAGACGGGAGAT